CTTCTTTGCTAAAAGGAAAAATTTACATTCCTGGTAACCAACTAGAACCATACTTAGTTCACTCAGATTTCTGTCATATTCAAGAGTGGTCCCTTCTTGGGGCCTCCCTGGTAGCCTAAGTCTCAGTGCTATCACTGTTATAGCCTGAGTTCCATCCCTGGCCATGGAGCTAACCTACATATGGTGTAGTAGACCACTGTTTCTCCAGCTGCTCCCTTAATGAGTTTATTTCAGTCAGTCTGCTTGTTCTGCTTCCCGCTTTGTCTCTGGTGAACCCTCTCACCCCACACCTCTGGCCTACACCCCAGTATTTGTATGTAAAAAAATAAAGTGATCGCTTCTAGAATGGCATATATAGCATGAGTTTCACCATTAGAGCTGGTCGCATCCTCTAACTTGAAAAAGCTATGCTGAAATTGTATGAAAACTATTACCTAATGTGAAGTAAAGAAAAATTCTTGTTCTACAAAGAACTCAGGCAACTCAACAAAAAGAAAATAAAGAATCCAATCAAAAATGGATATGTCTCCAAAGAAAACATACAGATGGCCAACAGGCACATGAAAATATATTCAACATCACTTATCACTAGGGAAATGAACGTTAAACCCACAATGAGATAACCCATACCCATGAGAATTGCCCATATCAAAAAGACCAGAACAGGTGTTTGGGAGGATATGGAGAAAAAGGAATCCTCATACACTGTTGGTAGGAAAATTTACTGGTCCAGCCCCTGTGAGAATCATTATGAAGGTTCCTCAAAATTAAAAGTAGATCTACCATATGATCCTGAAGTTCCACACCTAGGTATATACCTGAAGAACATAAAAACACTAATTTACAGGGATATGTGCACTAAGTTTATTGCAGCACTATTTACAATAGCCAACTTATGGAGACAGCCTAAGTCCCAATGACAGAGCAGTAAATTAAGAAGATAAGGTATATATAAAAAATGGAATATTACTCAGCTATAAAAAGGATGAAATCTTACCATTTGTAGCAACATAGATGGAACTAGAAGGGATTATACTAAGTAAAATAAGTTAGAAGAATACAAGTACTAGATGGTTTCACTCATACATGCAATATAAAGAACCAAAACAAAGGGTTTGACAAAACTGGAAATAAGACTAGAAATATGACTGCAGAATTGAGACTACTAGAGGGTGAGGGCAGAGGGAGTGGGAACCAAATGGGGAGGAAGAAAAATGATCTCTGGTGAAGGACTATTAGGGTGCTTTTTGTTGGATGTGATGTGCTGACATAGGTCTCAGGAGGTGTGAACCTATTCCCCTAAAAAAAGGTGTTATAAACCTATATTACATAAAATTAAATTCCTACAGTAAATTCTAAGATTTACTCTAGAGAACAAGTATATAGTAAAAATTTTATTTCTGTCAAAACATTTTAAATGACTTTTCCTTGTTTAAGGATCAAACAAGTTCTAGTCAAGATAACATATAAATAGGATATTGGATTAAAAAAACTCCATTACAAAAAAAAAATCTTTCAAATGAGTCTTTATGATAGCTACATATTTAAGTCAAGCAAATAGACACTCCACACAAAACCAGTGGTTCACAAACCTAAGTATACATTATTATCTCCTGAAGCAAAATTCATTTTGCTGTGCCTTGCCGCCAGTTTTTAATTCAGTAAATCTGAGGTGGAATCAGAGAAATTTCATTAATAACAAATTGTTAAGTGATACCAAACTTTGAGAATCAGTTGGCTGGATGAATCTGAAATCTTATTAAAGTCAAAATTTATTTGCAATGTTAAACATCTCATGGAATAGTGTTATAAAATGCATTGTACCAACCATAATATGAGTCATTTTAACGACATAAAATAAATCACAGGGCCTCCCTGGTGGTGTAGGGGTTAAGTCTCAGTGCTATCACCACTAAGGCTTGAGTTCGATCCCTGACCAGGGAGCTAATCCACATGATGCAGCAGATCTCCCCTTAGCAGTATATTTCAGTAAATCTGCCTGTTTTGCTTCCCCCTCTCCATTCTGTCTCAGGTGACTCCTCTAAACACCCTCCCAACACCTCTGGCCTATACCCCAGTTCTTCTATGTAAAAATAAAAATATAAATCACATGCACAAAAAAAATTCATTGATTTTGAAGGAGTGCAAAGAACATTGACCTGATAGGATAACCTACTGTAGTATAACAACTAATGGTACTACAACTAACTGTGACCTTGGTACAAACACTCAGTCTCCTTAGAATTGAGTTTCCACAGCTGCAGCCTGAGGGGAGTGAAAAAGATGATCTCTAGGGTGTCATCCACCTCTAAAAACACCTAATGACTCTTTGATAATACTACATTCATACCAAAGTGCTGGGTGAACTGAAGATCGTAAAACATAAAGCTTGCTGCTTAGCTGAGGGTGCAAGACACTAAAACCAAGCCAAAGAGAAATTCCAAATAATAGGACTTCAGAAATCTGTTCTGGTGATATGCTATTAAAGAAATCATCTCTTCATTTGGTGTCATACTATAGAATTTGGGCCTGTTCTGTAGTATTAATGCTGGATTTTCCTGCTATTTGAAATTAGTGTTCCTAGAAAATTTCATAAGCTTAAATGGCATATGAAGCAAGGAAATAATTACCATAAATTTATATGGAAAAAAAGTGTTCTCAGATGCAAAAATGACCTAATATACCAAATAACACATAAAAGCTAAAGTAACATTAACATGTAATAAAAGCAGGAATTATAGGATACACACACAGAGTATATAAAATAGTTCTCAGTGGGACTGCTCTGGATCCTTGGTGTGTGCATTGCCTCTAAAATAGCTGTTCCAACACAGTAACTTCACCTTTTGCCTTTTGTTGTAACAACAAATCCTGTAATTTTTGGTTAGCAAAGAAAGGTATTAAAGTAGGTCCTTTACAAAAAGCAAAATGATGTAACATGAACTTTTCAAAGGGCAGGGGCCTCTAACATCTTAAACAAAAGGCATCTTCCATTTTCTTTCTTCCTTTCTTTTCTTATACCTTTCTACTTTTCTTCCCTTATTTTCCTTTCCTTTCCTTTTCTTTCTCTTTTAATAAATATTTACTGGAACCCTAGCAAGCCAGATAGGCCCTGAGTGAAGTCAGGGTGGAGGGCCTGAGATCAAACCATTATCAGCTGAACCAGGTGTATCACTTTAACCAAGCTTGCTTCTTCATCTGCAATACTGTAACTGTGAGCCTCATGTGAAATAAATAACACACTTAAGAGTTTTTAGGGGAAGACCTGACACAGTGAGCAAAATAAATGTTATATCTGTATCTCCCCAGAGTACATAGTGCTATGGGGTGCTAGAAATGCAATTAAAGAACGAACAACAGAAATGCAGGTTTCCTGAGAGTACAGAATGAAGGAGGGATCAAGGAAGAAGCGTAGATCAAGTGGGGAGAACAGGAGAAATTTCACTATTTGTGTATCTGGAAAGACAGTTGAATAGCTAAGTGATTAGGAGGTACACTAGCATAGTAATTAAGTTTGTGTTCTTGCAACAGACTGCTTGAAATTTGAATCCTGGCTCTGCAATTTACCAGCAATGTTATATGATTGGGGACAACTAAATTATGCTGTGCAACTAATTACATTTTCTTCATCTGTAAAATGGAAGCAATGATAGCATCTACTTGCTCATTTTGAAGATTAAATCAGATAAAATCTGTAAGGGAGAAACATGCCTCACACATTTTAAGAGCTTGTTATATGAAAACTGATGTTATTATAATCTTTCAGTTTGAGTCCCTGGTCACCTGAGTGAGGCTCTTGTTCTTGGGAATACTAAATGGCAGAGGGACCTTTAATGTCTACTCCAATTGGAGCTACGTCCAAGTCAGTTCCTAGAAATACTTCCCTGATGGCTGTTTTTCTCCTGTGAGGTTTATATTGATACATTTAAAATTTAAACAAGATATACAATAATTTCCTTTTTTAAAAAAAAGATTTATGTATTTATGCATACAAGAACTGGGGTGTAGACCAGAGGTGCCAGCGACAAACAGCGGTGAGCATGAAGACACCAACACAGCCGCTAGAACGGGTAATGAACCCACCCGGTATGGGATGGTTGTGCTACATTTCATGTGGACGGCAGGACAGTTCAAAGAAGGACGGCTTGATGCAGACGGGTATGGAACCCTTTGAAACCTGGGGAAGGATTGAGGGGTGGCCGGCCATGAGCAGATGGTACTTGGTGGCCAGCCTCCTCTCCCAGTGGGCACTTCCCCAGGAATGGCCAGAGGTAAATGGATCCCTGGTGCAGGTGGAACAGGCCCTATACGAAATAGAAGAGACCCTGGATGGATATAGTACCCTCGAGGTGGCAGGGGCTGTGGGATGGGTGTTTCTCACAGCTCTGCAAGAGTGTAGACATAAAGAGCAATCCAGAATCCAGCAAGTATGGTATGAGATGCGGGAAGAGGTGCGGAAACTACAACAACATTTGAGGATTCTGGAGGAAGAAGTTCGGAGAAACCAACCCACCCTTCTGAAGACACCAGACTCCTTCTCAGGAGGGGAGGAGAGGGAGGCTGGCCCTTTGCTGGAGTCTCAGCCGATAGTGGCAAACCAACCTGCCACTCCGGAGATGCTGGACTCCTCTGGAGAGGAGGAGGCTGGTCCCATGCTCCGGGCCTTCCCGGTGATGACTCAGAAAATGAAGCGGCAGCGACCCATGGCTCCAGGCGCTGAGGCTGCTGGACCACCACAAATGACAGAATTTACTACGTACCGACCATATACCCAGGTGGAACTGGTGGAGTTGGGCAAACAGTTCCACCAGAAACCAGGGGAACACTTGGCAGCCTGGCTGCTATGTTTGTGGGACCTGGGGGCGGATGGGATTATTTGTGTGGCACAAGAGATGGAGAGACTGGGAATGTGGCAGGACATGTTCAATGTGAATACTCACGGTCCTGACAATGAGCATTTCACAGCTGGGATGAGAGATTTGGTATTAAAGGCTGTCCCTTCATCCTCATTTGGATCCTTCCTGGCAGTTCTAGCACCCTATGTGGGACGTCAAATACATGATATCACAACACTGACAGCTAGCTTGGGTGAAGTCGAAAGCTAGCATGCTCACACTCAGAAAGGAATATGGGTAATTGTTGAACAATCAAAAGGAATGCCGAGGAGGCCAAGGAAGCCTCTTGGCATGACAGAACCTGTTAAAGTTACCCGTAACCAAATGTGGACAGATTTAGTGAGAGCAGGTGTAGATAGCACTAAAATACATGTGAAGCACAATACATATTTGTTAGAATTACAGCAGCAATTGCAAGAATCTCAGGTTCACACCCTGAGGCCTGCTGCTTAAGGGGAAGCCTGGAAGCTTCAGGCCTCAGGCACATGCCCTGCACCTGGATGGTTGGTTGCTGCCAACCGTCCTTGGGCAATGGCCTGATCACTTTCGAATAGGGCAAGGGCCAAGGAACCCATCCACAGGGGACAGGCGGGAACGGAGGCCACATGTGGAGCTTGCCATCCACTGGTCCCCAACTAACGTGAAAAGAGTTTTGGCCTTGGTAGACACAGGAGCAGAATGTACTCTGCTCTATGCAAATCCAGAAAAATTTCAAGGGTCTACCTGTAACTTTAGAGGTGTTCAGACTGTTTGTGAACAATGTGTAATATGTTCCAGGATTTACCCCCAGAAGCCTTTTGCATCCACAGGCCAGGTGTTGCGGGGGCAGGTAACCCTGACACACTGGCAGATTTACATCATTGGACCACTACCTCGCTCCGACAGACAACAGTATGCAGTCACCTGTGTGGACACTGCTACAGGGTTGTTGGCAGCTTACCCTGCTCCACATGCTGACCAAAAGGTAGTTTTGGCAGCACTGGCACACCTATGTGCTGCATATGGACATCCATTGGTAGTGGAGAGCGACCAAGGGCCTCATTTTACAGAGCCTGGGTGAAGCAGTGGGCAAAGGACATGGGTGTTGAATGGAAGTTTCACACTTCCTGTAATCCCAAAGCTGCAGGGATCATAGAACATTATAACCGATTGCTAAAGTAAGGGCTGAGAGCTACTGCCCCCACTTTGACGCTGGCCAGGTGGAGCCGACATCTGTGGGACGTGCTACGAACACTAAATGAGAGGAGCAGGAAAGGCGACCTGGCTCCAGTGAAGGCGTTGCTGCATTGTGCCGTTGCTCCCATTCAATTGCAGATACAAACTTCAGATATTTTGTTAAAGCCTGGATTTGGACAGCAGGTCAACATTTTATTGCCATCCCCAACTGAAGTAGACCCAGGGCAGACTGTGGACTGGGAATGGCCCTGGACTGTGAAGGCTCCCCCAAGCGCTGGGTGGCTCTGATAGCCCCTTGGGGTTGTGACATGGAGGCCAATTTACAAATAACACCATGGGTGAGTACACAGTGGCCACCATGGGTGCTTGTTACCCACCCTGGGTTGGCAGATCAGAAGGCAATTCTAAAGGGGACATTTGTGATGACTCTCTGGCCTGTTATGAGTTCTCCACTCTTGCTACATGTAGAGCCCTCTGATGTCTCTTCGCTGGCAAAGTGAGTGTGGTACTCAAGACCTGGAAGGCGACTGATGCCAGCTACAATATTATCTTCAGACACAAAATTGGCATGCATAGTGCCAGATGGGAGGGATTGCCCATTGCTGATGCCAGTGACTTCTTTATTTTTCCACCCCTAGGAGAACTGAACTTAGTTATATTGTGATGTATACAGTTTGCTTTTTGTGGGCCATGGCTGCAGTGTTTATGTTTGTTAAAGGAAACTTGTATGTACTCGTATATATAGACTGTATGGCGGAAACCCTGAGGGGGTGGATTGTGGGGTAAGTGGGGAAGGGGAAGCTTCAAGCTTAGCTGCCCTCCTACCATGCATGTACACTCAGCCAAGCAGTGTGGTGTGGCACGCGCAGCGTGGTGTGGTGCGGAGGATGGAGGAGTGCAGTGGAGTGGACGGAGGTGTGTGGCAGGGAGTGGCAGAGTGTCACGGAGTGGGACAAACAGTGGAGAGCATGAAGACACCAACACAACTACTAGAACCAGTAATGAACCTACCTGGTATGGGATGGTTGCACTATAGGGGGTGAGAGGAGTCACCAGAGACAGAGTGGGGAGCAGAACTGGCAGATCTACTGAAATGCATTGCTGGGTGGAACAGCGGGAGAGACAGCAGTAGTCTGTTGTGCCATGTGCGTTAGCTTCCTGGCCAGGGATCGAACTCATGTTGCAGTGGCTGGCGACAGCTTTATAGTGTTGTCTTTAACCCCTGTGCCACCAGGGAAGTCCCACAGTACTTTCTTAAAACTGAGAAGAGGGTTTAAAAACTTTGGTTCCCATATTTTGTTGCACATTAGAACCACTAGGGAGCTTTTTAAAGTGCCCATATTTTATCCCTTACCAGGAACATTAGAAAGCCTGGAAGCAGGGAGAAGACATCATTACTTTATAAAAAATTCTAATATGCTACAAAACTGTGAACCACTGTCTTAAAAGATTCCTTTTCCTTAAGAGTTTAGGGTGCTGAATACATCCAAGTTTTTACCGGGAAGTTGCTTTCTTTTTTCTAAAAAATGTGTATAAAACCATTTAATTGCTGCCCTTAAACTGTAAAATGACTAAAACATTCATTAGACCAATAGTCAATAGTGACCTCTAGTGGTGTAATGAGAACCTAAAATAATCTAATTTTCTTGGTGGAGGAATGTTTTCAACACAGGGAAAAGTTGTCAATAACCACTCTTGCTACCCCCCACTTCCTCCCACATTATGTAGAAAAAGAAACTGGGGTCCCAGATCATACAAGAATCACTGATAGACGTGGAACTGAAACTTTACCAGTCCTCCAACTTCCCCTTCCTCTCATTTACATCCTCCCCCACAGAGCGTCATTTCACAACTTCCCCCTGTAACCACCGCCAGTGTACATCAATAGCTGCTAGGTTCCATTTCTAGCTCTTAAGCATGACCTTGATTCCTGTATCTGCCAAATAGTCACATAACTGACCTGAATCATGAGTATCTGGAGAGAAGTTGGTGACATCTCCCCTATGCCTCGCTGTTGTGCAACCATCTCAGGCAAGGTGAGTTCACTGTCAGTTCTCACAGACAAAGAGAGAATTTTGGCACTCTCTGGATTTTCAGGCCTTTATTTCTGTAACAGGGAACAGTATATAACAGGCAGGCAGAGAGACTGAGAGACTAACACTGAGAGATGCAGACAGCATCTTAACTTCTAGCCCCTGTACACTGTGAAGTGCCCATAGCCATAGAAATGATACATTGTTGCAAATGGAAGGCCCAGCTGTTGTTTGAAGGGTGGAAAACAACATTTGAAGGTATGTCTGTTGTGTGGAAGGCAAAAAATAGCTTAATTCATTTTCCTTACACTAAATGTTTTTGATTTCCTCTCTGTGTGGAAGGCAAAGGTTGATGTGCTCATTAGGGAAGTCTGACCTACTGGGTCAAGAGGTTTGGACCCATTCTTCTGATTAAGAAGTGTCTCCATTTTACAAATGATGAGAAAAAGGCCCAGTGAACAGTACTGGCTAAATGTTGTGCAATCATCACAAGCCAGACTGGCCAGGGACACTGCCCAAATAGTTTATCAGTTACTGTCTGAGTTTTTCACCCACGAACACAATTTCAAAGACTGCTCAGGTTCAGAGAACAACAACAGTGGGATTTACATAACAAACCAGGGAAAAGAGAGTTACTGAGACAACAAATGGTCCTTTACCTCACCCGAAGCAAGTGTTCCCAAGATGGCATCTTCCCACTACTGTGGACCTGAAGCACTTGGCAGCCACATAACAGGCCAGGACCCAAGTCACGAAGATAACAGAAAACACAACGGGAGATGCTCACAGATATTCCAGGATGCCCCAGCACAGCACCAGACAATAGACTCTCAAAACAGTAGCTGAAGCAGCTGAAAGACCCAACAAACGGCCACACTCACGCAGCTCACCGAGGCACCCGGCACTGGGTCTTCCCCTTTTTCCTCCAGGATATAACAGCAGCAAAGCTGGGCACTTGGCCCAGCTTTTTCCTTCCAGGATATAACAGCAGCCAAGCTGGGTGCTTGGCTACCTGCAAAGCCTCTGAACACTCTCTCTCTGAGGTTGGCTTCTGGAAGCCTCCCCATGTTCCCCAGAGGCCCATAACAGCCCTCTGGAAGGTAGGAGCAATAAGGACAGAAATTGCTGGCCCCGGAGTCACTGAAGAGCCAAAAATACTAAAATCCAGAACGTGGAATCCCAAACTCTTAATTCTGGGGGCTGCTTCTTGAAGTCCCTTATATTTCTTATCAGAGTCTCACCCCTCCCCCCAATACTTTGTTATCATTTTTACTGGGGCTATTTATCCTCACCAGCAACCCCTCCAGGGGGCACCACCTGTAACAGTCTTTGGATTCAGCCATCTGTTACAGGTTCATTGTCAGCTCTCACAGACTAAAAGAGAATTTAGAGACTTTGGTGTATTCTGCAGTCCTATAATGCTGAGATGGGGCCAAACTGTATACGCAGGCAGGCAGGCAGGCAGGCAGGCAGGCAGGCAGGCAGGCAGGCAGGCAGGCAGGCAGGCAGGCAGGCAGGCAGGCAGGCAGGCAGGCAACACTGAGAGGAGAATAACAACTCCACTGCCTAGCCCTCTACACTAAGTGTCCATAGCCACACAACCGATACATTGTTATAAACGCAAGGCCCAGCTACTGTTTGCTAAATGTCCCAACGGTGTTTCAAAGTATGGGCTGTCTCTTGTGTAGAAAGCAAAAAATAACATGATTTACTCATTTTCCTTATACCATGAATTCAGGACCAAGAGAAAGGATGTGTTGAAATGGTCTAGTGTAAGGAAAATGAGTTAAAATCATGCTATTTTTCCCCTTCCACAGAACAGACACCCCATACCTTGAAACCCTGTTTTTCACCATTGGGATAGCTAACAAACAACAGCTGGGCCTTGCATTTGCAACAATGTATGGGTTATGAGGCTATGGGAGTGTTTGTGTAAAGGGGGCTGGGCAGTAGAGTTGCCTGCCAGTGTTGAAGTCTTTCAGTGTTTCTGTCCTTCCTGTGCAGAGGGGCTAGTAGTCCCCTTTCTCAGCATTAAAGGACTGCAAAGAGGGCCTCCCCGGTGGCGCAGCGGTTGAGCGCTGGGTTGCGAAGCTGCCCGCGGCCTCTGCAGCGCCGGTTCGATCCCCGGCTGCTCCCCGGCCACCAGAGGAGGGTCCCACATGGCGCGCAGCCCTCTCCTGCCGCCCGCTGCTCCCCTCAGCAGTGTACTTCGGTCCTTCTGCCTGCTCTGCTCCCCGCTCTGGCTCTGGTGAATTCTCTCACCCTCCCACGCTTCTGACTGTACCCAGTGCATGTACAAACAAAACAAATAAATAAATAAATAAATAAATAACATGCCTCTATAAAAAAAAAAAAATAAAGGACTGCAAAGATCCATCAAAGGCCCCAAATTCCTTTATGTCTGCGAGAATTGACAATATGCCTACGTGGCCTGGGATGGCTGCAAAAGTATTCATATAAATGGGGAAACTGAGGTGCAATTACAGAATTGTTCTCTCCAAGCAGGGTTCTGAAAGCCCCTGACTAAACTGTAGGTCCCCCAATCCTGGGACACCAGAGGTGTAACCTCAATATGAGTTAACAATGAAAGATGCCAGAGTGCAAGAAAAAGGTAGATTTCTGGGTCTGAAGGAAGAAACTAAGACATCTGAGCTGGTGGGTAAAGGCCAAAGGTTTAGGGCCTGGGGTGGATCCTTGCACCTACACTGGTAAGTTGCTTTCCAGAAGCGGAAACAGAATGGAATTTGAGGACTGGAGATCAGGAGCAAGGAAGAAGTGTCACGATGTCTTCCTTGGTGGCTGAAACTGAGAACAATGAGCAGCTACCTCTCCTGCCCCTACCCTGCCCCCCTCCCACTCACTCCCAAGTCTCTTCTTCTCCAAACTTCTAACAGCACCATGATCTGAATCTGTGATTAATCAAACTCACCTTTTGCACACACCATCCCTTGGAAGACGGGGATTATCTTGGTTTCTGAGGCAGAGGGAAAGCTTGAGGTTAATTTCGTCTTTTGCACTCCAAATGAAAGCAAATCTTCCAAACCATGTAAGCAGCTCTGCGGGTTTTCCGGAAACACGGCCCTCTGTGAGGCCAATGCCTTCGCAAAGGATTCTGGGAAAAAGTTTTGAGCACCGTCTGCGCATGCCCAGCCCTGTGCGCTTATGGCGGTCTGGATTTGGTCTCCTGCAAAGCAGGCGCCTGCCCCAAGGAAGTTTAGATTGGCTCAGCCTGAGTGCTGGCTGGTGCGACTGCAGTAATGCGGTAGAAGGGCTTGTGATTTTACTGCAGCTTTAGTCTGAAACCCGGGGTGGTGAAGGTTTCCTCTACTTAACACAGGTTCGAGCTGAAAGCTGAAGGACCTATAGGCAGATGCCCGGCGAGGGATACAGGCAGGACAAGATTCCCTATCAGCCATAGGTCCGGAAAACAGAGTGTAATTAATCAGTAGAACTTCACCTTTTGATGAGGGAAATGGTGAAGGTAAGGGGAAGGGCAATGCGGACGGGGTGAAGGGCCACCCAAAACAGGATTGAGCAACATGGATGTTATGTCTAGAGCAGTATGGGGACATTAGAGCTCCAGCCAGAGGCCACTGGCTCTGATTTAGAAAAATCCGGCTCCATTGTGGAGGGTAGATTGAAGGAGTTAAAGTTGGAGTTAGGATTTCATGGAAGAAATGGTTGTGGCCTCGCTAGCATAGGCACAGTGAGATATATTTAGGAGATAAATTAGAAAAAGAATGGTTATGGGTATGCTTGTGAATTCGTATTTACTGGGTATGCAGTGATGTTCATATTTACAAATTATGTCATTCCAAAAGTAAACTGAAGGATATTTCTACCCATTTATACAACATGTTCAAATTTGGACAGTTTGTAGTGCCCTGATGAGCAGAAGCTTTTCACACAAACATACCTGTGTTATACTGGGAAGGATAAAACTAGGTCCCTACCCTGGGATCTGAACTCCTTACCTTTACCTTATTTGTCATAGGATCTATTCCTTTTCACTGCATGCTTTTTTTTTTTTTTTTTTTTTTAAGATTTATTAATACAAGAGCCAGGGTACAGGACAGATGTGCGGGAGGGTGAGAGGATCCACCAGAGACACAGTGGGGAACAGAACAGGCAGACTGACGAAGCACACTGCTGAGGGGAGCAGCCGGCAAGACAGGAGAGGTCCGCTCGCCATATGGGTTGCTCTGAGGCCGGCAGGGATCGAACCGGTACTGCAGAGGCTGCATACAGCTTCACAACACCGCGCTAAACCGCCTGCGCCACAAGGGAGGCCCTTCACTGCATGCTCTTGAGCAAGTTATTTAACCTCACTTCGTTTAGTCTCTAAAGAGTTGAGACCTTGTAATGAGAATGTAACATGTTAAGCATGAGCCTTAGGTCCTAGGAGTTCTAGTGTGTAGTGTGTCTAGCCATGGATGATGACTCCTGAAGATAGAAGATGGTTCCTTAGAAGAGAAAAGCCCAGCATGATAGTTTAAAGAGAAATAGAAACATTAAAATAAAACCTGGAAGGTTTTGGAAATGCAAATATGGAATTGGAGGGAGGGGAACTATCAGGCACTTGTGTTAATTTAAGCATATAGATGGAGATCATGGTGGAGAAATGGACACAGCCACCGTCTAACCACAGAATCATCAGCATATATATTTGTGTTGAACAGCAGACTGGGAAGCAGCAAGGAAACCAAAAGGCTGTTTTATTCTGGGGCTCTCTGAGCGGCAAGATATTAAGAAGATATTGTTGGCCAGACTGAGGAGAAGTTCCACAGGACTTGTGGCACATGCCACTGGCAAAGGGAAGATAAAAGGGAACTAGTGTGCCCACAGGGAGAGAGAAGTGTAAACTAAGCTTTATTGTTTTATTCTAATCAAAAGTAGAGAAGAGTACAGAGGATACCTCTGGTTGAGCAGAGGAGACTTATGGCTCAGAAGACACCCTAAATTTCCAGTAACAGCTCTTTCTGGGCTGACTCCCAGGTGTAAGGTCAGTGAAGGGAGTCTTTTATAGGGCAAATCTTGGCCTCTTGATTTGGAGAAAGGGCTAGTATAGATCGAGGGTTGGTGTTATTTAAAAAAATTTTTAAACGAGTTATTTATTTTTATACAAGAGCTGGGGTACAAGCCAGAGGCACGGGAGGGTGAGAGGATTCACCAGAGACAGAGCAGGGAACAGAACAGGCAGATTGACTTAAATACACTACTGAGGGGAGTGGCGAGCGCAACAGGAGAGAGCAGCCCGGCCATGTGGGAATCTCCCTGGCCGGCCGGGAATTGAACTCTTGCTGCAGAGGCTGTGGACAGCTGCACAGCACTGTGCTCAACCCCGCTGCGCCACCAGGGAGGCCAGGGTTGGTTTTACCCAGGAATTTTTATGAGGTAGTAGATTCCTGAGGGAATCCCACACCTGGAAAGAAAATCTTCCCAAATAGGGAAGTTCTTTGTTGCTGAAGTAATTTCTCAGACCTAATCAGATAGGCCCATGCTGCCTCTTTACAAGTATCAGGCAATCAGGGAAAGGACAGATAGAAACTATACTGGGCACTGGAGGGAGAGGGAGCTCTGAAACCCCCATAAGATTGATTCTTCTAAAGTGTCTTTTCTCAGTGACTGACCAGTAGGGTAACACAGTCTTACTGTGATAAGCAGGTGGGAATTAAATCAGTCTGATTCACAGAGTACTGTGACCTACACAAAAATCCTATATTGTGTCAGCTGTTTGTCATGTTTATATCACCAGTGTCCATTAGAAGCCTCTGTCACATGGGAGGTAAACAATAAATATTTTAGAAATAACTAAATTAAAAATTGAGCACAAACAGTATTCAATGTTTTCTTAGCTAACACAAAATAAATAAATAGGCCTGAGAGGGAAATTAAAGTTGGTCTTGCCTGGAGAGAAGAGGACTCCCTAATCTTGATAACTCCTAGAAGGACCACATTAATTCTCCATTGTGTCTTTGACTTAATATTTTTTGAATAGGCCAACTGTAGGGTTCATATCTTGTTAGTTCTTCCTTTAACTTGTATTCTCAGTTTTTTCTGACTCCATCTTCAGAAAATAAAACTACCAACTACCGTAGTATTTAATGCCTATTTTAAGAGCCATTTTCGATCTAAATTCCAAAAGCTACCTCACAACTTCCTTTAACTGTAACCATGTGAAACTAAAGTCTGAAAACTTGCTAATTATACAGTGATCTTCTATTCAAGTTTCAGTATTAAATAAGCAGTTTAATTCCAACACTCTAAGGAGGACTTCAAATGTGCCTGAGATAATTAAAAGCACTAGTAATTGTAATAGGGTGGTCTCCAGGAAAAGGGGAGGTTCCAGGTTCCCTGCTCCATCCAAGGGAGGGTGGAGATGAGCAGAGAGGAGGAAAGCTGGAGAGGAGACTGTAAAAGGAAGAAGGATGGAGAGCAAGGAGACCTGGAGGAGGTACATCGAACAGAAGAGAGACACTGAACAAGGTGTGCTTGCTTCTTGGTCCTGGACTGACTGAAACATGTGAGTGAGAGACCCATGGGAGGTTAACAATGGCAGCATTTATCTTGATTTTGCTCATTTGTCCCTTCTGCTCCTTTCCTATGGGTTCCCATCAGAAGGTACCTTAGACTTGTAGCAGGCTAAGGGGCCTCAGTGGCCCTGCTTTGGGCCAACCCTGTTTGGTTGGGCATTTACCCATGAGTGAATGGGTAACTTCGAGTGCTTGATTTCGAACTATATACTTTCCCTTCTCTATTGCACACTAATTATATTGAAGTTCCTTGCCACTGAAGGTCTTACACACTAGAATATGTTTTGTCTTGATGTAGTGGATGGCAGAACCTACTTACAGCAGGCAGGTTTGGGGGTTCTGGGGAGCTCCTCACCCTGCCCTGTAACACTACCAGCCCCCATAAAATCTGCAAAAATAAGTAGAAAGCTGATTATAGTCATCTATGCAAGAAATGCACTAATTCTAATCTAATGTATAAATTCTAAGAAATGGCAGGCGGACAAAGAAAGGAGTTGGGAGATTAACTGGCAATGGAATAAGAAGAGGATGTGGTTTATCTCGAATGTGCTCTGGTGAGGGAGGCCTCCCTTGCTCTCTTTTAGAAATACTATAGTTTTGTTAAGGTTTGTCATTATTTGTATATTTTCCTTAAAAACAAAGGCATAGGGCCTCCCCGGTGGCGCAGCGGTTGAGCGCTGGGTTGTGAAGCTGCCCGCAGCCTCTGCAACGCCGGTTCGATTCCCGGCTGCTCCCCGGCCACCAGAGGAGGGTCCCACATGGCGCGCAGACCTCTCCTGCCGCCCGCTGCTCCCCTCAGCAGTGTACTTCGGTCCTTCTGCCTGCTCTGCTCCCGGCTCTGGCTCTGGTGAATTCTCTCACCCTCCCACGCTTCTGACTGTACCCAGTGCATGTATAAACGAAACAAACGAACAAACAAACAAATAAATAAATAAATAAATAAAAACATGCCTCTATAAAAAAAAAAAAAGTTTAAAAAAAAAAAAAGGCATAGATGTATTATGTATAAAATTATACCAAAAGATCTGATTGAAAACCATAATAATTTGGATAAATTTTCTGAAACATCTAAAAACAGTTTCAGTAAGTTTCTATGAAGTATTGATGGCTCTTATTAGTGATCTCTGTGCTTTCAACTCTAAAAATGTAAGAATCTATGAGAAAACATTTTATGATAAAATAGAAAAAGATGAGAATTTGATTGTTAAATGATTATTTTTATAAATTTTAAATTGCAAAGAAAGGTGATTTACTTAATTTATTCATTCAACAAATGTTTACTGGGCACCTAGACTTAATATTATAAGATACTTTGAGTGGTGAAGCTTATCTGGGGGAAGGAGACAGACAACAACCAAGAAAACAAACTAAGTAGTTCTAGGTAGCTGTGATTTCGATGAAGATGATGAAACAGGATAATGTGATAGAGG